TTGTGTATAAAAAGTGAGGTTATATATCTCTTTATGCGTGCTTTTTATATATTATAATTAAAAACTAATGGTGTGTTTACTTATATTCTAATTAAAATAACTGATAAAATCAAGCTTTCAAATGAAAAGAAAACATCCTGTGCATAATTTAATTTAACCACTGTTATTGTTTGTTTACAAAATGAAGATGAATTTTGACAAATCGAAGGATCAAAGCGGACTGGGAACTATTTAATATGACAAAATATGAACAAACAATAGACTGTCACTTGGCAGCCAATTTCAATGCTGAGGATATCTGCCTTATTGTTTTCAATATAATAAACGCTTTTATACTCTGTTTCCATTTTTAGTGACGACACGAGAAATCTACATTTTTCATTTTTGGCACATAATATAATATTAGTTAGCAGTTTATATTTGTCAAGGGTACACTATAAGAAAAATGTTTAATGTTTTAAAAAATAAACATAATTACAGAAATGTGCTTGAAAATTTGCAGAACATTGGTTATTAAGGTGGAATGGGGTCAATACTGAACTATTTGCGGTTTTGATTGACAAGGTTGCGGTCTTCATTGGAATGCCTTAAGATATATGTAAACAACATACAGAAACACTCCTCTGAGCAGTACATAATTTTGTAGGTATCATAATGTTTCCACAACTTTGTAAATATTTGAAATTATATTTATGCTTGTACTATTATCAGAGTACAATGAGTATTTATTTGTGCGATAGTTAATTAGTATTAAAATTCAAAATCATTATAAAACCATTGTGACGTATTGAATTTCCTTTGTGAATTAACACTTTTTCGTCCTCATTAAAATTTCATGAAATCAATCGAAGTAATACCATTGATTTGTTAGCTCTTTGTTATATAGAATTTACCTAAAGTCACAAAAGTTTTTTGCATTTCTTAGTTGCCTGTACATTAAATTCATTATGAATTAATATTACTTACTAAATAATTTTTTTAACTTACCTTGCGTTTAGTGGATCTTTCAGCTGTCATCTGTATTCAATATCAAAAATAAATATGCGATGAAAATATATGAAAGTATAATCACTATTAAGATATAATTATAATTAAGAAACAATAATAAAGATCTTGAAATTTAATCAAGAAGCATTTTTATGTAATCGCTTTTAAATACATATTCTTTTAATGACGATGTTGTTCACTGCACATTTATCGATCTTAAATTTAAGAATTTAAATTCAACGTACTAAATATGCGTATGTATCTCGTCATATGACGTGGATTCATGACAATGGAAACAAACTTTGACTTTCCTAGAACTATTCTCAACATACAGAAGCCGCACCACATTGTACAGCTGACTGGAGTATAGAGTCGGTAAATTACCAAGTTCGGTTGACGCTATGACATATTCATTTTAATATTCAATAAAATTTCACTTTTTATAAACATAATTTTTTAAAAACACATATCACCACCGAGAGAGTCAGTGGCTCAGGAGTCAAGCACTTGACTTGCAATCTGCAGGTCCGGTCCTGTCAAGTCAATGAACCCGCACCAGTATGGCCTAGTCACCCCTAACTTAGGGTAGGCTCCAGGACCCTCGGTGGGGACATATAGCTGATGATGATGACATATCACCACAATGCAGAACATTTCGAACACCTAAAATCTTGTTTAAAAATTCCTCTACGCACCATGCCCTATCATATATTGATTGATAAGTTTCTTAGCCTATGGAATATAACAGAGCGGACATTCAGCGGAGAATGTTTCATTCCTCCCTGTTGTGATAAAACGTCACTTGAAGCTCATATTCCTCATGTAGGTCGAAAAATAGGCTTAGCAACATGTCTACGTGCAGCTGTTGGTATGTGAATGTTTTTAATCTTTCTAGTATTATAAATGCCAAAGTTGATGCGATGAAACTTGGTACAAGTGTAGAACATAATCTGGGAGAAAACATAGGCTTATTAAGTTTTTATTTAATTCCGCGCGGACGGAGTCGCGGGCTACAGCTAGTTTTAAAGGCCGGCAACGCATCTGCAGTTCCTCTGGTGTTAGAGATGTCTTCTATAGGTGTCGTTGATCACCTCGGTGTTCCCGCCGCTCGTTTGCCCCCTTCTCTTATTAAAAAAATAGTTAATTTATAAAATAGACTTAAAATAAGCACTAAAAATTGTTTTTTATGTCTTGTATAAAAATCCATAGAAATTGTTATAATTAAAAGTTATAAAGTTCAGTTGAAATGGTTCTTACATAAAGTTCTATTCATATCCAGCGTCTCGCAATTAGACCTGGCACGTTTCTTGACATTCACTACACAATTTAATTTTATTCGCACATGTTGAAGTCAAACACCCATGCGAAGGTGCGACTTATCTTACAAACTTTGCTATATTTGAATTATGAATGTTTTTTAAACACACTTATAAAGAAAAAAATTAAAAGACGAAATGTTAAATTCAATAAACACTATTTGTTAATTAAACTTAAACGCAATTGACTACTCCTATGACATTCTGTTGAGGAATGTAGACCGACGACCGTAAACCGGACCGATTTTAGTTCGCTTTGTATGATTTTACATAGCGCTGCATCCTTTATTCGCGCCGCCCGTATCGAAAGACAGTATTTATCAGCAAGTAATTCGTTGGGGGCTGTGTGTGCGATGCGTCCGGCGCGGACCAATGGACCCGTACCTTTAAGGATACGAATCAACAGTTTAGGCTATATAAATACTTTGGTATTAGTTGTCGTGTTCTATTAATAAGAGTAACTCTTGTAGTTTAGTATAATATTTTCTATGTTATTTATCGCAAATACGATCTACAGTCAAGAGATCGTAAATTTCGTTTAAGGTGAAAATAAATTGCACGTCAGTATAGTACGCTTAATTCGTTGCCGGCTGTGTCTATAGGGAGTAGCCAGCCCTCCAGTCCCCTACCACATTCGGAAACGTATCAACATTTCCGGAAGTGTTCCCGCCACATTCGTCTCTCTGATTATGTTGCTATACATTTACTTATAGTTGCGTTACGTCTTCCAGCGTACAAACTAACACGTCTAATGAATATGTGTAAGACTAACCGTGGAATTCTGAGACCCAAAATCTCTATATAAAACATATCATTCCTGTCATTATCTTTGACGAATCAGTGATAATAAAATATTTTAAACGGGGATTTTAATCTCAGATAGTCACCAGATGCCCTCTTATAAACCACCACAGTCAGTTTAACTTTCTTGACATTTCAATAAAATTATATTTTGTATTTTACTGTTGTGAACTTTGGATGAAGTTATCTCATAATTCAAGCGTAGGTGAAAAACGAGGATCAATTATACCCATCAATATTCACAACTATTAAGGCTTTACGAGAATGTTATTAAGGAATTGATAGTAAAAGGATAGGAGATTAATTGAATAGACCAAATTTGACCGTTTGAAAACAACTTTATTTAAAATTTTCAGTGAGTGTACATACATGAGTTTAAATATAATATGTTATATAATAAAATAAACAAGAAACATGATTAAATAAATTGTAACAAAAATATATAAAACGATCCGATTTTCTACTGTTTTTCTCTCTTATACCTAGAGATTACATGATGCTTATTATCTAAGTTACAATACCTAAAATATTATGTACCAATCACGTCTTGTGATTGGCACTCGGTTATTTTAAACTTAAGACATTATTAAAAAAATAAACATACAAAGAACATAAAAAAACTGAATAAGATCAGATATAGAAGATCTTATGTAACTCATCTTCTTCATTATCTCCCTGGACTTAAACCTCTCACGTGGGGTTGGCGCACAAGCTGTCTATAAAGCTGAATGTTTTGATTGTTCATTCGTCCGGTGGCGGCATCGACTAGTTTCGAGCCCATCGGGGGCCCTTCATCAGGGTGAGTGGGACTGGTATTATTTCACGGACGCGGCTCGTCGCTCAGTGAGCGCGAATATACATCAGTGTCTAGCCGTTTTTATATAAGTTTTTTGAATGTTTTGGTTTAATTTTTACGTCCGGTAGCTTCCCTGTCGCCAGCCCCATTTGGAAGATATTTATCTTTTAAAAAAAATTAAGAACATTATATAATATGTAATCATAAACTTAATATCTAAATACATAAATATATTTCTATAAATATTAAGTTGTCCGATAACTTCGTTCCGATTTCCAACAGTAAGTTGAGAACAGTCCTTAATATATTATAATTATTCAAAATACGTCATGCTTACATACCTATTCTAATAGAGGATAACTTCAATCGTAATTAGATAAAGTTAAGATTCGTAATTTTTAGAAGTTTTATACGCCTTAGAAAATGGCAGAGAATATAGTGCGGTCCGGTATTTTTGCTTTTCTTTTTCTAAAAGGACAAAATTGCCACACACTAGGTAAATAAGATATGCACTAATAATGGTGCCGAAGTGGATTCGGTTTCCGATGACCACTCTCATACTGACAAATTCTCATAATACGAATAAATTTAACTCTATGGATGAGATAAATCTTAATTAGATAAATTATTTTCCAAAAAACATAAGACGCTATGGTATAGAATGATTTCAATATAATTTTAATAATGTATACTATAATTGAAGTGAATATTAGGTTTCAATTGTCCTTAAATTTACTCATCGGACAACACAATACATTAACAGTAACTAACAATTACGATTAAGGGCCCTATATAGAAGGGAGTTATTTTAGAAACCGCGTGCATAGTAAGGAAGTTCCTAACTCAGCAGCCCTGGTCTCTGGTTGCTTGAGTCACGGGATTTCAAAGACGCTATTTTTATATAGTTACTTAGCTGTCACCCCCAACGCCATCCGCGTGGAGTGAAATAAGAACTTTATTACTTATAACATCGATATATTCTACATAATATTTTTTTTATAATATTTTAAAAGTACACTCACCATATGTAAATAATTAAAATAAATGAATACTACTATAATAACAGATTAACAATAAATCAATAAACATCAATAATAAAACATAACATATATAACAGTACTTGGAGGAGAAGTACATACTGTGCCGACCCTCGATAGGGATAAGGGCAGGTTGATGCTGATATATAACAGTACTTCAAGATCTAATCTAAGAAAGTTTACAAGACATGAACTAAATTAGCAAAGCATGTTGTTGGCATATTCGAAACTTTACTGATTATCTTGAAAAAACCCGCGAGGGGCTTCGATTTGGTCATCTTGTATTTTTGTGAACCATGGAATTTGCTCATATTTGGGAAATTCGCCTTCTTCGATGTCGGTTCTTCTGTAGAACAGAATGTAGGGTGTTTCATCTTTTTCTAGCTTGTTAATCTCATCGTGGTTTATGGCGCTGACCTTTTTGTCATTAATCTTGTACCACTGGTCATTGCATTTTGTGAATGCGATGTAATGTCCTGTGTTAAGGTATTTTCCACTGTGAACGATCATTGCATACAGTATGTACGTGCTGCGGTACTTTTGGTTGTTTTTAGAAACCAACGTGACGATATCATCGCACTTAATTTTGTGCATTTTTTTTACTGAAATATTTCTTGCTGGGATATATCTGTTAAAGAAAAGCAAAATACATTTTACTGAAGACAAGCGGTCGCCCGCGCAGTATTAATAGAAAAAGCTTGTCTAGCCTTAGAATATAGCCGCATTTATCAGCTACCTTCCCGTCCAACTCCCGTCAAAATCGATCCAGCCGTTCTGGTGATTACTTGGAAACAAACGCGACTTTGCGGACGGACATACAGATAGACAAAAATTCTATTAATATGTATAGATGTATAGAATCATCTCCGTAGCATAGCAATTGAATAAATTTGTTGATTTGAAAAATAAATGATGGCTTTACCTGAAGTTTTTCAATGTAAGTATCAAGTATTTCGGTGTCTTAGCAACAATCGATATCTTCTCAGCCTCCCGGAGGCTATAGCATGTATTACACGCGTAGGAATTCACCCCTGACAGGGTCTCAGCGGAAAAGTATTCTTTCAAAAGATTCTCAACTGTGACAACTTCTTTAATGTTTGCGTCGGAAAACGACAAATGCAACATGTACACCGTTTCATTTATGCTCGAAACGGTCTGGCACATTTGACATGTGACGTTCGTCGTGATAACAGCACCAAATAAGTTATCAATTAACATTTTTTTGCAGGTCGCGGTTTTCTGGCGCTTGCTCTGTGAAGAATCGGCTGATGGATCTGAAACTAAACACTTACTATTTAACATTATTTACATGTATTTTAACTTTTAGATAAGACATCGAACAGCTATTGTTTAGCTATAATCGATATAGATTAAATTAGACTATCTTTAGTAATAACAAACATTTAAATTTTATTAAAATTTATGTTAACGTTTTTTTGGCAGTAGTAGAAAGTAAATAATAAATTTAAAAAGTACTTACAGTAGTTTTCAGCTTCAGCGTTCTCGTTCCTGGGGAGGAGATTTAATTATTATTGTTTAATCTTCAATTTAAATTGTCCTTTATTGGCTATTTTAAAACTACCTATCATCAGTGATTATTTTCAAAGTAAATTCACTTACAGACCTACTTCCTTAAAATTTACTAGATACCTAATATATTTAGTTTAAATTTAAGTAATTTACTTATCATCAAACAGCATACACATATAATTTTATTATATGTGCATTATTACTTTAAGATAATCTTGTAATTAATTAAAATTGAACCGTAAGGGATCCAAAATTTTTTACCCGAATCTCAAGATGGTAACTTTTTGTTTTTTATTATTAGTCATAAAATCGAAAACACCTTTATTAATTTATGTCAACCTCAGTCTTTTTTTCAGGGTTTTTGTTTGTTATTGCCTGAATATTATCATCATAACGATATATCTCACTATAATTAACAGTGGTAGAGCCCGCTTTAACATCTTCGCACGAATCGGCCCGGCTCGACCGGTGAAATACCACGACCACACAGAAGACAGGCGTGAAGTGGAAGCAATTCCGCGTTTCGTCTGATGAGTGTGCGTCCCGGAGGCCAAAATTAGTCCTCTTTCCCTTCCCACCCTTTTTCTTATAAGGAAAGGATGGGAAGTGGAAGTTGACTTTCCGGATGAGAGGATGCATGGAAAGGGAAAATATTTTCTTTCTGTGCATCGTCTCCTCCGTCGATTGGCGTAATATAAGATCGATGAATTGTGTGTAATATGATTAAGAAAGACTTGTAAAATTACCAAAGAGTATTGATTTGGAGGACAAAAACCTGTTGTGTTAACCCCATTTAGTTTGGTATATGGACAGGAGGACGATGATGAAACAAAGGAATATGTAACGTGATGGATGTAATAATGAAAAGTATTACCTTACGGAATACTGTGCGTTATCAATAGCCGCCCTCACTTCCCAGTTAGGTTCGAAAAACATGAGGGTCTTAAGCAGATATCTGTAAAATGAATTATTAATAAACCAAATATTGTCAAAAAAAAAATATGTTTGCAAACATTATATTATACATGTACTATAAAAATATTTCATGAAATTATTATAATCTAAAATACTTACAATAAAAATTCAGACGCATCATGTTCTCTATAAACATTGAAATTTAATGATCTTAATGTCGAATAAAACCTTAGAGGATTTGCAACCGGACATATGTTGTACATCATATTGCCGAACAACTCGGCCAGCCCGCACCAACACTGATATTGGTACATTTTCAACACAGTATACGTGCTGAATCTAAAAGAAACAACAATATAAATCACAAATAACTTTACGATCTACATTGATAAAAACATTTACGAACGAAAAAGAAATTTTTGTTTTACAATTATACCGTAAACTACACTGCCGTCTAACGAAAACAAAGACTATAATATATATCAACACATGGGTCTCGGTCACGGTAGTCAAATGATACGGTTAGTAAAAATTATTTTATTTTATTATTATATTTTAGATAGAAATTTTGCTGTGCTTATGGACTTGTCAACTAAAACAATAACATAAGATCGACCAAGACCTTGATAATAAATAAAAAAAATTGTGAAAGTAAATATTGTGGAAATGTATCCTTACTTGTTGGTCACAAGCAAAGCTTGTATCACGCTGTTAATATAGCACGTGGAGCCATAGTTGGTGAGGCCAGTCCTGCGATTGTAGTTACTCATTCGACTATACTGCAGTTGTGGCAAAAAGTTCTGAAAGTCTGCCTCGATTTTCGCAATGTTCCTGGCTGGATAAATTGTATATATTTTATGTTCATTTCCTGGAAGCACGCCTTCCAAACCAGCTGATACAATGTTTTGGTTTGAAGTGTACGCGAAGGACGCATTTCCTAACGTAATCTGGCTTAGAGACGTAGCTACGTTGTCTTTTATTTCGTTTACATTTGAGTGCACGGTGGGAAACACTTTCTGGACTGAACGTACTATTACTGGTGGATCATTTGAAACGCCCCGGGAAGTACTGGGTGTGTTCAGATCTGCAATTCTTTTGCAGTTGGATTCGTATAATTTTTCGGTCTCAGTACGTTCCACTTCGCTTTCGTCGGATGAATCATTTTCCACGATAATTAAGTCATTGGGTGAGACGCTTCGGCTACCCCACTCTGAAGGTTCCTCAAAATTATACCTGAAAATAAAAGTAACTTGAACATACATATACATATTAAGTTTTTCATGTAATAGACCATTTTTTATTACTAAGCAAGCAAAACCCTCTAAAATCATAGACACAATATTTTTAACAACAAAAAATACTAGTCATTTTATTAAAAAACGGCTTGGCCAACACGAGGTGAAGTGACTTCGCGGAGAGTATGCAAAAGAGAATGAGGCGGAAGTTATTATAACATGCGTTGTCTTTGTGCACGCACGCACACCGATATTATATTTATTGTAAACGATCAACATATCATTTTCAAGTACAAACATTTTGTTGTATTCTTGATTAATGGTTAGAAAAGATGGGCCTGCGCCTTCGTTCACGATATTTTGTTTTTCGTTTCCTGCACTTGTGCCTTGGAACCCTTGTTCTGCATTTTGAGCGGGTGAAACACTTTGAGAAGATCTCTTAGAAAGCTTAGCCGCCAAATGATCCCTGCAAGTATTGAATAATATATAATACCACATGGATATATTACTAATTTTACAACACATTTAGCTATTAAATCTACAAACATTTCCTTGTTGATCTCTTTTATCTTTTTTATAATAGCGGCATCTGAGACCGCGCCAGCAACATCTTGTTTTGTATTTTCATCTTTTTCACCCTCTTCATTATCTTGGGTATCTTGGGTAGTAAGATTTTGGTTAAAGCTACCCGCGGGAATGCCCATTTCGGGAGTTGCTCTGAAATTATCAAATAATACGATATAATTTACGATTAGTTTTACTACAGAGTATTTTATTATTAACTAATAGCACATAAATATATGTAATCCATCCATAAAATTCCTTTAGCATGTTTAGAAATCTTGCTATTATTTTTATAATGGATTAGTAAAAATGAAACGACTACTTACTGACTTTCGACAGTCACTTCGTGGCTCACAAAGTTAACTATCGCCCATGTCGCCTCATCTCCATCTCCTGATTCATTTACCTTTATCTCTTCCATATTACTTTCTTTATCCATCTTATCTATATATATAAAAGAAAGTCGTGTTAGTTACACTATTTACAACTCAGGAACGGCTTTACCGATATGGCTGAAAATTGTTGAGGAGGCAGCTTAGAGCCAGGAGACGGACATAGGATACTATTTATTCTTTTCTTTTTTTTTCGAATTTATGCCTTGAAGAGCTGCTGTTTATTTCACTTACTAATATTATAAATGCGAATGTTTAGATGGATGTGACGTGGATGAATGGATGGGTGTTTGAAAATATCTCTAGAACGGATCTTGATTAAATTTGGCATACGTATAGAACATAGTCTGAAAGAATAAATAGGCTACACTAATTAAGCTTTTTATATACGCGGACGGAGTCGCGGGCGACAGCTAGTATCATATAAATAACGCCTTTATATGAGAATAAACCTTTACACAAACTTTTCCTCTACTTTACAGCATTTACTGAAAATAAATTTAATATATATTGCTTTTTTCAAGTACTTTTCTATATAATGTCAAGATTTTCTCACAAATGTTCTTTACTTATGTATTATACTTTTCAACATAAGTATTATTGTAACATATCGTTTAAACTTATTAGTCAATAATCTACGCCCTTATTATTAGGATTGCGTTCGGGACTGTTTAGTATTTTTTCTACGGAATATATCAAAAGAAACTTTGCGATAGGTAGGTTTGTAATTTATAAAGACATGTTAAAATTAATAAATATCAGGAAAATTTATAAATTCGATGCGATAATTCTCACATTTGCGGAACTTTTCATTGAGATCCTGAAACTATTTAAAACGTTACTTCTACGATTGAGTATAATGGAATGAAACAAAACAGGCTTATGAGCCCTCGGGAATTTCGCGCCTAGCTTAAAAGATTGTTGGAAACAGTAAATTACGGCGATGCCTTCGTTTCTCTAGGGAATGAAGAATAACAGAAGAAGGTAACTCCGAAGATATGTTTAAAGGTACACGTCTATTGGCTCGCGCCGACGCACCACCCACACTGCTTACAACGTAATTTAGTTAGCTTTATATGATTTTCCAAATGTCCAACATTTGCGCCGTATGTAGTGAGAAATGAAGCAAATTCATTTAATACGAGCCTTTAGTTGGATGTTTGATCCAAGCTCTGATACTTTCTAACTTACATTAATAATATTAATCATTTGAAGTGAAAACACTTCTATAGTTAATAAGAGCAAAGAAAAAATCTATAACTGGTCTATTTGTGTAGAAATATTAAAAAATATTGAAAACCAACATGCAAAGCTTTTCTACGATAAAAACTTAGCGGATTTTTTTTTACATTTTATATTACAATGTATTCTATAATATATAGAAATACAGAACTGAGTACGGAATAAAAAAAATATCAAAATGAAAACTTCGTCGAGCAAAAATACATTTTATTACTGGTTCGATAACAATTTAAATTGTCACCAAAAGAATTTAACGTCATTTTAAATTGTGACATTATCGTTTTTTTGTTACTTGCATTAAAATATTTGCAGGTATAACTAGTAAATGTACGTACAAAGAAATAAATAAAAATTAAAAATGACTGGTATGGTAAGAAGTGAGGAAATGGTGCTTTGCGACGTGTATCTGCAGCCCGAAGCAGCATTCGACATCGTGTCACGATTCGGTGAAATGGGCTGCTTGCAGTTTTTGGACGTAAGTATACTTCTAAGGTATACTTATTTACTTGCATTCTACATTACATACATTGAGTACTGGGATCAGTCGATAGTCCTTACGAAGTAGCTAAAGTATGCAGTATGGTAAAATATGGTGGCTGTCAGTAATATCCATCCGAAATTGTAATTTATGTTTACTTTAAAATACGTTTTATAATTTGATAAATTTGCTTACGTTACCTAAAGATTGAAATTGTTAGAATACAGTATAAAATCACGAACATCCCGACAATATTAATAAACAGGGTATAAGAAGTAGTAAAGTATGAGAAACTATAATTAAATTTACAATGTTGCTAGTCTTTGTAAGAATTCATAATTAAAATATTTCTGATTGCAAAGCAGAATCTCTGCTTTTGTTTATTAACTTTTCCACCTTATTTATTCTTTGTTTTTTGCAGGCTAATCCAGATGTAAAGCCTTATGAAAGAAACTATGTTGCGGAAGTTTGCCGCTGTGCCGAGATGGAACGTCGACTACGTTATATGGAAGGCGAGATGAGAAAGGACAGCATTAAAATCCCTGGTCTCGACCACGACCCTCCGGCATTACAACCGCACGAAATGTCCCAGTTTGAAGTTAGCAGTTATTTAAATTTTTCTTCATTATCTTAGTTTGTCTCATTTGCTCTTTTGATTACGTATACAGTTTTGCTTTTTTTCGACATAAAGGCACTTAAGGTTGAAATTTACACTACAATAATACAGCCTTGGTAGAAAGGAAATTAATTACTGTCTTCATTTTTCTTTCGCAAAGTTGATATTTCTTGGTAGCGAAGTTTATACTCGGGTTTACTTTTTATATTAAAACAATTCTCTCTTAAATGTCAACGGAATAATGAGAGTATATTCATATATAAATTTGCCTAAGATATAGTTGCCTTTACAAAAAAACTATCATCGATTTTTCATGTTAATCAAAGGTTTATTTTAAAAATAATTCAAACGTCATTGGAAAAAGACTCAAAATGTTTTTTTCTAATGTGTTATAAGGATTTTAAAAGTGATTATAATGACGTCACTCGTGATTGTCTTTATTTCGTGTACCGTATATGTTGCAAGCATATTGTATAAATCCGCCGTTTACAAACTGCTTTAGCTTTTTGCGTAAACAGTGCATATAAAATGCCTAAACATTTGACTGTCGATTAGAAATATTGTAATACTATAATAATGATTTTAATTATATTTGTTATTGTGAATAACAAAATCGATATATATAGACTATATTTAATCTTTGTAAGACAATAACAAAGAAATTAATTATTCTGTCAGTTTATATAAACAAAACAACTCTCGGGCGCGAAGTCTACGAGGTCAGCTGCATATAAACGCTATCTCTTGCACATTAAGCGAAAACAACAAGAGATTGCACATTCTACGTTGCATTCATATACTTATGATGGATAAATATATCCATCATACATACATACATACATAGACCTGGTCGGCACAAGTCAATCTAATATTTGACATCTAAATCATATGTTCAAAGCCTAAAGACTTTAGATATGGAACTGTATCGACTTCATAAGTTATTTCAAAACAAAATATGAATAAAAGGAAAAATACAATAGCGTCATATCCGGAGCAAACAATACCATGGCCGTCGCACCAATGGAAACTGCGCGTAAATAGCAAACGTGCTACACTTTTTATCACAGGTCAACATCAAGAGCGAATATTGATCAGGTCTAATTTAAAACGGGCTTCATCAATATCTACAAGGATTATAATCCACTTTTGTATACGAAATAATGTTCTTATAAATAATAGTCCCCAACACATTCTCTCTCTCTCTCTCTTTTATTATTAAACATTATTAGTTTAATTGTTTTTTGTCGTATTTCTTGTTGTCTATGGTAATGCGACTAAGGTCGTAGTAAGTTAGAGACGCATATCTAAACATCCTATCCTTTTCTATTTCTGTAGGCCGTGTGCATTGTTTTCGTACGATTGTGCGCAGTACCTTTGTGCGGTAAGATATCAACTAAAAAATTTGCTTTGGAGCCCATTGTCGTTAAGAATAATTTTTCATATTTTAAGCTAAAAGGGTACCTTCCTTGTAGATAATTTATACTAACCCAGCGAAAAAAAAAACTAAACTAAATGAGATGTATTATCTAAAATAGTTTATTTCAATGCTTTATAAGTACTATAAAATGTATGATAAAGTATATGCTTACATTGAATTGATCCTTGCAGTAATAAAAAACGGTTTTGTATTTATGATTTATTCTGCCAACTGCTTGGAACCTTTTCTTTAGACGCTCATCACTAATTGGCACTCTTAAAAAAACAACTTTCTTGGTTTTTCTATTATTCGTACACAATGAAACAAAACAAGTACAACAAAAGGTTGTAAAATTTGGAAAATCTTGTATACAAATGAATGCAAAATATTAACAAATATTTAATTTCTATACAACGCACAATACTTTTCTCTTGATGCTCAAATTAAAAAGAACGTTGACAACTCAACGACAATCAATAATGTCAAAGCCATCGCAATGCATTTTTATATGAAATTGTTGTTGCCAATACAAGAAATAAGTCTCGTACGTTTTCCAGAATGTGGCGAGGAGTTTTCTATTCTGGGAAGACTACAAAGCGTAGTTTCAATTTATTTCAATATGGTAATATTAATTGATTTAAGTGTAAAATAAAGAAAACATCGATACAAAAAAAACTGCACTGAAAAATGCATAAAAGTTTTATTTGTTTTTCTTTGTAAAATTACCGTATTTTACCGTTTGTAGAAAAATTTGTTGTCTACGTTTTATTAGTGTGTCCGCCGCCAGCCTTTGGCTTATTTTCGGTAGAAAGTTTTTAAATTCATATAAATTTGTAAAAACACTATAGAAAAATAACATGTGTATGGAAAAATGTATATGATTTTTCTGATTACGACAAAAAAAATTAAGGTCGTAAAAATAAGTAAGGTGATGCGCGCAAAAATTTGTTTTACTACCAATTTATTTTGTTCTAATAAAATGGATTGTTTTGTACTTTGTATGTTGAAATATCCGAAATAGAAGATAAATTTCTTGATTAGCAAACTAATATTAACATATCGATAACCTTTACTATAGCAGGGCCACTTTAATAGGTCAAATTTGACATCTATCAGTTTTAGCTTAATAGTGAGGGGAAATGATTAAAAATATCGATTAAAATGAATGCATCGATATATACGATAAGTAAATGTGAGTCGAGTGCAATCTTTCTGAAAATTACTTATAACTATTGTAATCTTTCTTACTAATGTTATAAATGCGAATGTTTAGATAGATAGATGGATGGATGGATGGATGTTTGAACTCTCTAGGCGTCGTATTTATGCTGTGAGAAATATATCTGAATACAAAGTTTAACCTTCTTCTGAAACGTTACAGTAAAAATTTAAAAAAAAGTTTGAAAGAATTATCCTGAAAAGTATATATCGATTTTGTTGGTAACATCTCCAGTGTTTAAAATGAAAATATGTTTATTGACGCAACATTGTATCGACGTTCAGTTCTTATAGAGCAGACATTATTTATTATGTTTAAAATGGTTTATGAGTGAAAGTGGATTGTGAGATTACCAATTTTGGTAATTATTACAAAGAAAAAAACAATTGTGCAGTTGTAACTTGAGAAAAATTTAAAATTCTATGGCCGTCGTTACAAGGTTACCTTGCTGAATTTAGATGAAGTGTCAAATGTGACCTATTTAAATAGCACTGCTTCAGGTAAATATAGTTTTGCTTTCGATACGACGTTAATATTTGATCATTTATTTTGATATTCTAGAACTCTCTAGAAAAATGGGAGGCTGATATCGTGGATATGTCTGAAAATCAAACAAATCTATTAAACAACTACTTAGAACTGAGGGAGATGTCATATTTATTGACACAAATAGGACCCTTGCTTGGAGATGCTGAATTGTCACCTGATACTCTTTTATCCAGGTAATTTAAAAGTTTGTGCGTTGATTTAGCCGATATATTCCTTAAAATATTGTTTCCAATACAAACGGAACTTTATAGACTTTTTTACTTATTATATTTAGTATGTTTTTTTAAAAATGAATTTAAATAAATACACATATTATTTTTATATTTTTAAATTTAGAATGTTTTGTTTTTTCGTCTTTTCGAGCTGCTTATAAAATGTTAGTTGTAAATTTATCTTTCATGTAGTATTTGCTAATCTTTTCTTATCTCCCGTTAATTGTTTTTTTTAATTCTTAACATTCATTATTATCTTTAAACTTTTCCCTAAATTTACCGCTCGTGTCGTTTCCTCCATCTACAATTTTAGTTTCTTTCATCTATATATATTCTTAAATTATGACAGAAATAAAGAGGGTCGAGTATCTGATGCTTGAAAGGAATTTCATTAATACATTTCAATGCCATCTTCTGTTATGAGTGGCTAGTGACTTACACTTCAGCCCTCTAACCTTTAATCTCGTGTTTCAAATTTTGCGACGCTTTATCTTTTTCTCTTCTTTTGTTTTATAATTATTTATTTTTGCAAATTCAGTCGTTCTTTATAATAACGAATTTGGTTTTGTAAGTCTAAACGGTGTAAACGGTATTGAGATAATGATTTTCAGGAAGGGTGGAGGCGAAACAGCAACCGCTGGTCGTCTGGCAGTGTTGTCCGGTGTTGTGCACCGAAACAGGAGTTATCCCTTCCAGATGATGCTCTGGAGGGTATCACGAGGAAATATTTACTATAGACAAGCATCAGAAGATGCTATATTACTGGACCCGAGCACGGTAAGATAGCTTTTATAATAAGCTAAGCTAGCTAAGAAGCAAATAATAATACTATTAAAAAATGTTTCTATCTTAGGGAAAGGACATACGGAAAGTAGCATTTCTTGCGATATGTCAGGGGGAGCAATTAAGTTCGCGAATGGAGAAAGTGTGCTCTGGTTTTCGAGTGAATATCTATCCTTGTCCTGAGACGAAAGACGAGCGTCTCATGATGACAATGAAGCTTCACACAAGGGTATCTGATTTAGAACAGGTACGTAGAATGTCGTGATGGTTGGATAAATTTGTCGAGTGACGTTGCCACTAAGCAAATTATCCAAATGGAGCACGTGTTGATAAAAGTAGCAATGGTCAAATAGTAATAGACGTAAGAAGACGGTGGACGTATCGACGACGACGACGATCAAGTACAGAATAGCCCGGAATATGCGTGTGCTAGTAAATGTTCTATAAATTCCTTTGGAGAAATGATTGCAGAATAACTTTGGCATGATTACAAGGTGCTGATCAATCAACATGGTCATTTCACTGAACAGGTGAGATGTAAGCTGTCATCTGTTGGCAACCGACCGGTGGATGGATAGTCATTAGGCTTATTTAATTGAATTGAATCATCGAATTAATCATATGCGGTGTAATATATTGGTATTTAAATTGATAAATGTTTGGAAATAAATAAAGTGTGGGATTTTCTTATATACTTTTTGTAACAAAATAATCATCATTAACATATTTTGCAGGTAATTAAAAAGACAAAATACCATCGTTGTAAAGCCCTTCGTACTGTGGGTAAGCGATGGGCATTGTGGATGATGCAAGTAAGAAAATCTAAATCCATTTATCACACAATGAACATGTTCTCTTTGGATATAACCAAGAATTGTCTGATTGGCCAATGTTGGGTACCTAAAAGTGATTTGGAGCGAGTGAATGTTGTTTTGGCGGAGGTTTCGGTAATTGTTTCATTAATGTTCGTATTGCGATTGCTTTAAATCCGATATCATGAATTAGAATTCCATGTTGTGTAGGAATTTTATAGTCGATCGATCACGCATTACATCGACCAATTGAAAATTAATATTGAACTATTAAAATAAAGACTTTGTTGAATTTTAACTGGATATAGATAATATTTACTACATATTTTAAGTTAAACTACGAATTGTTCCTTCTCAAAGGCTAAGATTGGTACTAATGTACCGTCATTCATATCTAAAACGGAGACTACTGAGGTGCCGCCGACTTACTTCAGAACCAATAGATTTACTAACGGATTCCAAACGCTTATAAATGCTTATGGTGACTCCAAGTATAGGGAATTAAATCCAGGTAAAATAACCACTAACATTAGTTTTTTTTTACATTATGCAATGCATTTACGCAACTTATTGTGATTTTAGGTCTTTACACGGTTATAACCTTTCCCTTTTTATTTGCCATAATGTTTGGAGATTTTGGACACGGTTGTATACTGATTCTGTTCAGTGGATGGATGATTCTTACGGAGAAAAAACATATGGGCATACCCTCGGGCAATGAAATATGGAACATAATGTTTGGTGGTAAGAAATTTTTTTCATAAATACTCTAGTATAAAAATGCTCGGTTGTTAAAATATGTCAAGATGAAAATCAAAAAATTAGGCAAAAGGTTTCAGGCGATCGTCTAAAAAGACAACCACGCCATGGCGTAATAAAGCGGCTACGCGTAGCACACTCCTCGCTGGAGTGAGCTATCACATTATTGATTAAAATTTTAAAAGTTGCATCCAAAGAACAGTAACTTATTACTAGCTTAAAAATAACCTTATAAGTAGAATTCGTTGTATTTCCGCTGTTTTTAATTCTAATGATTTTTCTCTTAAAGGGCGATACGTGATCTTTCTTATGGGTATCTTCTCCGCAATACTTGGTATATTATACAACGATATATTCTCCAAACATGTGTATTTGATGGAGTCTTATTGGAAGAATACGTTTACTCTAAGCGATATACAAGCGAGCCCTTATATCACTTTAGATCCAGCTTTAGACACCAACCCACCGTATGCTTTTGGTGTTGATCCATTTTGGGGGGTAATGCTTTTTTTTTAATAGATTAAGAAATTTTTTATCTATGTAGGTTATAATAGTCTAGTACAGCGTTTCTTAAAGTATGCTCTGCGGTGCTCTGGGAGTACAAAATCTTTTGAGGGATCAACGAAAATTAGTACTGGTAAAAATAAAAAAAATAGGGAATAAGAAAAGAATTACACTTTCTAGTGCCTAGAAAAATAAAAACTAAAATCTAAGGTTCTATCAAATGGGTTCCGTAGGCAAAAAAGTTTGAGAATCGCTGGTCTAGAAGAATACGTAACTTTTTTTTTAAATTTAATGAATAAACGATTTTTTTTTCGAAGAAATAAATGATAAATCTTTTTGTTTAAATGTTTCAGTTTGCTACTAACAGTATTATGAATGGTAATTCTATGAAAATGAAAATGTCCATCATTATTGGAATCGTACATATGATTTTTGGTCTTACATTAAGTTTATTTAATCATCTGTAAGTATGTTACGGCAGTGGAAGCGCACTTTTAAAGTATTGCTAAATATTTTTTTATGAGCGGTTCTTTTCAAGTTAGTTTTCTTTTTGTGTAATTTTAAATATATAGACAAAACACAAAAA